GGCAAAGTCCTGCAGTAATCCCAGAATCGGGCAATGAGGGAGGAGGGAGGAAAGGGGGAGAAGATCACACCAGCCTGAAGATACGACTTCTCACAAAAACGTATCAGCCTGAATGGGCACAGGCTGCGCGCAAATCTCTGAGGCCCAGGCGGTTGCAGCAAACATCCAGCGCAGTATGACAGGGAAGGAATGAGGAGGATGAGGAGGGAAAGGGGACTCGAAACGCGCACGACCCCAATCAGTGCGTTGAGTGAAGCAGTGCACAGCAAACCAAGGCTAGAAGCAAATGCCGCCCGTGAGACCTTGAAGTGGTATGCGAAGAATGAAACGCTCCCGAATGCCGCCAAGCCAGCCGGGCAGCGGACCGAAGGGGGCCGTCCAGAAAGCCTCGAGCCGGACGTACACGCGGAGGTCCGGCAACGATGGGGCCGACGTGCGCTAAATTACACATGGGAAGGGGGGAGAGAAAAGAGGGGAAGAGGAGGAGATGACACTGCACGCCCAGCGCAACACTGCCCGACGTCCGCCCCGAGCTAGAGCACGCAAGTTTGACTCCGAATGGCTCCGAGTGTGCGCTATCGGTCACGGGGCCGGGACACTGACAGGGGCCGAAGACCAAGCCTGGAGCTTCGGCCACGCTCGCAGGACGGACCGTGCGGGCTGCACGGCCGCGCAGCTGCCGGCGCCCGCCGCGAGCGCGAACCCAGTCGTGAGCACATCGCGGGCGGAGGGGGCGAAGAGGGAGGAGGGAGGGAGGCAGATGCGAGGGAGGGGCAGGATGCTGATGCTGCGCGCTCGCACCGAACCACTCTGGGAGGGCCCTGCGCGGACGCACCGTCCAGCCGGCCACCACCGGCAGAGCGACGACACCCGCCATGCAAGGGGGGAGGAGGAGGCGAGGGAGGGAGGGCGGAGAGGAGGAGGAGGGCAAGGAGGGCGACGGGCACCCAATTCGTGAAACGAAAGCCCAGCCTTGCGCTCATTGGTCGCCCGCCATCGTCTGCGCGAGTATCCCCCACAGCACCTGGGTGAGGAGCTGCTGGGCCTGAAACGGGCCGCCGCGGCGATGCCGATGGATGTTGTGCGTCTGGTAGGCGGCTGCCGCGAGCGTCGCCAGTTGCCCGAGGCGTTCCCGCGAGCGCCCCACCTCCCGCAGCATGGCTGCCTGCGTGCGCCCGTCAGAATTCTTTGGGTCATGCAAGCCGAGGTGGCGTGACCCGAACTCCCACGACAAGGCAACGCAAATAACGGCGGAGGCAATCCTCGTCTGCGGCGCACCCCAACCGGCAAGCGTGCCCGCGTGAGCCAAAAACGTCGAGCCGTGCACCGCTCGTTCAGTCAGGTGCGGAGGACGGCAGCGTGTATTCGAGGGGCGAGCCGCCTAGGCAGCGTCTTCATCACCCTCTTGCAAAAACCAAGGGGGGCCCGGGCTACACTACTTGAGCTTCCGCCGAGGGTCCCAATGGCCTTTGCGGGGCCACAGTCGCTGCCCCAGAAGCCCCGCGGCTGTCGATTTGAGCATTATGCGAGCTCGTCGCCAACGCCCTGCGGTGACCTGCTGGGGGGTAGACCCTAGGAATGTGTGTGTGTGTGTGTGTGTGTGTGTGTGTGTGTGCGTGCGTGTGTGTGTGTGTGTGTGTGTGTGTGTGTGTGTGTGTGTGTGTGTGTGAGTGAGTGGGCACTTGTGCTCTGCACGCTTCTGTACCTGCATGACCTCATCGGCGTTTCCTACGCGCTTCCGCGGTCTCGCGCCCTCCTGCACGCGTCTGCCTTCATCCAGGCCCCCCATCACGTCAGATGGCATTCAAACTAAATGTACCACGCCTCACTGCTCGCTGTGGTGCCGTCACCCAGCCGCTGGAGGAAAGTGTGTGTGCGCGCGTGTGTGTGTGTACTTCGTGTTCCACCCAGGGCGTGTCGACCAACTTGTAGCATCACCAGCTGTACGCCGAGCCCGCTCCGGCACACCCCGAAGGTCTTCGCGCTCTGAGGCCCTCCCGGCCGCGCGCAACTGACTCCTTCTTTTCCCCCTGCCTTCTCTCCCCTGCCCGTACCTCCATTCGCTTCGCAAGTGCCTCAGCGCAGCCCGACCGCAGCTCGGATCCGAGACGCCGCCGATCAAACAAGTTCCACCCGGGCCGATGCGCTGCCCCTCGCTGGCGTCCAGCCGCTGGCGCGGCGCCAGGCAACGCCGCGTCGGCCGCTCGGCGCGCCGCCTGCCTCGTGCGCCGCCGGGTCCCCCGGTCCCGCATGCCCCCTCGAGCCTCGCCGCTTCCGTGATGCTGGCCCAGACATCCGATATGCAAACTTTTCTGAAGGCTGGGCCCCTGGAGGTCCACAGCCCTTTGCCGAGGTCGGCCACACGTAAGAGCGACCTCAGGCAGGAGTGACCTTCGGTGTGCGGCTTTCGGGGGCCGCGGGGGGGCGGTGTCATATCAAAGCGTGCAGGCCACTGCCGGGGGGACCCTTGTGGGCCCAGACCAGAGGGCACTCCGACGCAGGGCCCCCTTTTACGCGCAGACGACTGGGGCCGGTTTTTCATTTTCGATCGTGCTTCGCGGTCCCTGGGCCCGGCGAGGGCCCCCGGAGGCCGAAAACGACCAAGAGCTTCCCGCTGCGCTCTTTTCGGGAGCTTCCATGAGGGGGGCGTGAGGGGGTGGTGCAAATCATGACTGGCGGCATGTGCGCGGCCCAGCGGGGGGGGGGCCAGGGACGTTTTGAAATAACAAGAGGCGCCATGACATCTGGGGGAATATCATGGCCCCCGCCATGATATCCCCCCCCCCTGGTCATCACCCCCCTCTTTTCCGCCCCCGATCTTTCCACGGCGCGAGCACGCCTTGGGGAGCGCGGCGCGCCGCCCGACGCCGGCGTTCGACGCAGAGACCTCGCGGGGGGCCGACGACCCGCCACTGCGCCGCCCTGCGCCCTCGCCCCGCCCCGGCGCGCCGCGGAGGGTTCCCCCCTCCCCCCTTTCGGCGGCGAGCGAGGGGGGAAGAGCGAGGAGGAGAGGGCCCTGTCCGAAGGAGAAGGGGGCGAGCGAGGGGGGGATGGGAGGAGCGAGAAGGGGGCGAGCGAAGGGGGCGAGCGAGGGGGAGAGGAGAGGCCCCTCCCCCTTTCGGCGGCGAGCGAGGGGGGGGAGGAGCGAGGAGGAGAAGGCCCTGTCCGGAGGAGAAGGCCTCGGTTCTGCCCCCTCGGAGCCCGCTCTTTGAGCAGGGACCGACCGTCCCGGCATTCCTATTAATCCTACCACGAAATGTTCTTAGAACCCAAAAATGTTCTGAGAACAAGGACAATGTTCTTATAACATGAGCCCGATGTGATAAAACAAGACAGACTCCGCCAGGAATGCTCTAAGAACATGTCGTGGAAACCACAAAAGGTTCTCAGAACATTGTTTGGTAGGGCTGTAGGCGAGCCAGGACGCTTCGCCGCTGCTTGAGCTCTGCCCGCGCCGGGAACGCGCCGGCGGCTGAGATCGCCCGGCGTCGGGGAGGAAGCGTCTCACGCAGCCGCCCCGCGGCGGCCTCTGCGGAGCCTGTCGGCGGCGATCGGCGCCGTAGCTCTTTCACGTGTGCTACAATCAAAAACCCTAATAAGGACGCGCGGTAAGGACGCAAGACCCTTGGAAGCCGAAGTTGGGATTTTTGGGGCGGCGAAAGAGGCCAAGGACGAGCCGCAAGAGCAAGGAAGAGCAAGAACGCAAGGGTACCCTGAGCAAAGTCGCGCGTCCTTATTAAGGTTTTTGACTGTATGTCCGCCACCTTGCCCTTAGGCACAAGTTTGAGTGTCCTCGGGCCCCTTTGAGTTCTCTGTGATGAGCATTGTAAATATCATGACAGGAGCTGGGGACCCCCTTTTTCCAACTCTTCGGGATGCTCTTGGACGCTCTCGGGGTGGACCGCATGGATTTTCCAGCGTCTGAAAGCTGCAAGACGGGCCAAGAGGGCCCCAAGAAGCGCCCACGAGTGCCCAAGGAGCGTCCAAGACGGCCCAAGAGCGCTCCAAGACGCCCAAGATGGCACCAAGACGTCCAACATGCCCCCAAGAGCAATCCAAGAGGACCCCCGAAGTGGGCCCTAAGATGCCCAAGCCAATGATGTTCCTTAGATTTTTGAAAGGTTTTAGCCGTCGCGCCTTTTTCAGCTTCCAACGCTCCAAGCCAGCTCAAGAGACCCCCAAGATCGCCCCACGGCTGCCAGCAGGCCCCCGAGAGGCTCCCCCACAAGCTCCAGGAGGCCCGCAAGAGGCCCAAATCAGGCCCCAAGATGCCCTCAATAGACACCCGAGAGGCCCCCAAGACACTCCGAAATCGAATCCAAGACGCTTCCGAAAGGCCTCCAAGAGATCCCCACAGGCATCCCAGATGCCTCTGACCTACAACCCAGGCGCAGTGGCGAGACGGACCGAATGTCACTAGACATGCCATGTGGAATGACACGTGAAATGTGGAATGCATGATCTATGATATGGATACTTTGATGCTGCCCTTTCTGCCGATTGACTCGTGCATGCGCGTTGTTGTTGCTGTATTGTCTCACGCCCTCCGTCTCCGCTTGCGGAGCGAGGGGCCTCCATAGGCTCATCGACTGGACTTGACTTGACAATGCCGAAGCCCGATGCGCCCCATGTGCGGTCGGCCGATTTGAGCACTTGCGGTGTACGCGTCACTGTACAAGAAGCACTGTGTGCCGACGCTTGCATTCAGAAGCGCCCGTATTTGCAAGCGTGCGAATGCACGCTCACGCGCCTTTCGGTTGTCATGTCAACATGTGCAACCGAACATGTGCATACACGTAAATGCATGTGTACGTGCATCGGCACATGACCAGACACCCAACACCAATACGCATGTGCACATTACAGTCCTGATGATGCAACACCGCGCAACCACATACGTGCACATGCTTGCGTGTGAGTGCGCCTGCGCAGACGTCAGCGAATTCTCGCAGGTCGCTTTTGAAGACCTCAAGGGCTGGGCGAAGCTGGCGCGACCGCTCCTGAGGGCTCCCCGAGCTCGAGCCAGGAATCCACTCGTGCTGGGAGCGCGCTCTTTATTCTTTTATGAGCTGGTGCCTACATCTCCACATGCTTTCCTTTACCAGTACTCGTCCCATTGTTACTGCAATCTTTCTGGTGGCCTGCGCTTAGCGCCCAAGACATTCCAAGCCCCTTTATGGTCTTTGCCCCCATGGCCCTCCTCCTCCGCCTCCCTCTTTGCCTCCTTCTCAACCTCCCCCTCCTCCTCCTGCTCCCCTGAATGGCTTGCTTTGCGTGACCTCGTACCTGCATCCAACTCACCTGGGATTCCCCTGTGGCCAGCACATGGAGGAGAGATGAACGAGAGGCGCAAGTACTGAGACACCTGCACAGTTGTCATCTAGCAAGAACCCCCCGACACTGACAGAGATGCTATGCACCACGTATACCGATGGCCCTCAGATCTGCCCAGAAATGCCCTGGCTGCGCCCAGTACAGCCCCAAGGGAATCCCGATATTGCCATACCTTCCTCCCAAGCTGGCCTGATGACCGCCCCGAGATCTTCCACGAGGCTCCTCTGAGCTTCCCTCGGAGGCCCTCATGGTTGCCTCCTGACTTATTAGCGCTGTCCCACTGCCACGAAGAAATCGACAATAAACCATGCATAGCTTCTCGGCGCTCATCTGGGAAGCGCCCCAACGTTTATGATAATGTACAAACCATACGGTCTAGGCGATACTGTGCGAACGATTCGGTCTAGGTGATAAGGTGTCATTGCATGATCGTACACTCCCTCATCAAAGCAACTCGCCTAATAATCGGTTCTGGATGGGCCGGTGGGGATACGCGCCAATCTCGATGCCGTGCCGCCTGATGTTCGGCCGAACATGTCCGCAACAATTGTTCGTCCATCGCATCCTCCCTCGCTCCTTCCTTCGCTCCTTCGCTCGCCTGAGGCGGTCACGGCACTCATTGCCGCGGCGCCCCCCCCGCTGGGCCACGCGGACGGGGGCCCTACTCACCGCCTGCGGCTCGTACTAGCTGCCTTCGCTCGCTCTCCCTCCTCCCTCCCTCCTTCCCTCCCCGCACTCGTCCGTCGCACCTCCTCCCCTTCGCCACCCTTCCTACATTGCTCCCCCTGCCCCCGCCAAACAGCTCTGATTGATCGCGGCGGGTCCCTGGGCAGGATCATCCTCACGGAACCCTGCACACCCGCCTCCTGTACATGATCAGACGTCGCTGCTGTCTGCTGTCCTTTCGCCCTGCCCTGAATGGCCGGGCCCTCTCCTAGTCATCGACTGTGCTAACTCATGCAGCTGGAGCCCCCCGGCCAACAATTATCCTGGCGACGTACCCAACCCTTGCGCAATGCGGGGCATAAATACATCAGAATTGCTACAACGGGGGCGATGACGTAACATGGACGCATGTGATTTTGCGAGCAGCAATCGGAAGGCTCGCAGGCTCCCGATCAAGATATTATCCCAGAGCGACCCTACCTAGGAGTTGGAGCCCCGAGGAGAGCAATGTTAAAACTAACGGTAAACGCCGTCCTCCTCCTTCTCCTCATCGTCGCAGTTGTAGCAGTAGCGGTAGCAGTAGCGGTAGTAGTAGTAGTAGTAGTAGTAGTAGTAGTAGTAGTCGTAGTAGTAGTAATGTTCGTAATGGTAGTAGTGGTAGTAGTATTCGTATTATTACTAATATTATTGTTATTATTATTATTGTTATTATTATTATTATTATTAGTAGTAGTAGTTGTAGTAGTAGTAGTAGTAGTAGTACTAGTGGTAGTAGTACTAGTAGTAGTAGTGGTAGTAGTAGTAGTAGTAGTAGTAGTAGTAGTAGTAGTAGTAGTAGTAGTAGTAGTAGTAGTAGTAGTAGTAGTAGTAGTAGTAGTAGTAGTAGTAGTAGTAGTAGTAGTAGTAGTAGTAGTAGGTAGTAGAGTAGTAGCAAGTAGTAGTAGTAGTAGTATAGTAGTAGTAGTAGTAGTAGTAGTAGTCGTAGTAGTAGTAGTAGTAGTAGTAGTAGTAGTAGTAGTAGTAGTAGTAGTAGTAGTAGTAGTAGTAGTAGTAGTAGTAGTAGTAGTAGTAGTAGTAGTAGTCGTAGTAGTAGTAGTAGTAGTAGTAGTAGTAGTAGTAGTAGTAGTAGTAGTAGTAGTAGTAGTAGTAGTAGTAGTAGTAGTAGTAGTAGTAGTAGTAGTAGTAGTAGTAGTAGTAGTAGTAGTAGTAGTAGTAGTAGTAGTAGTAGTAGTAGTAGTAGTAGTAGTACTAGTCGTACAGCTTAATACCTACATCTACATATAGACCTACATCCATATCTACACCTACAGCTACATCTACATATACATGCTATGCGGTGCTATGCTATGCTATACTGTGCTATACTATGCTATGCTGCCCTATGCTATGCTATGCTATGATATGATATGCTGCACTCTGCTATGCTATGATATGCTATGCTGCGCTATGCTATGCTATGCTATGCTATGATATGCTGCACTCTGCTATGCTATGATATGCTATGCTGCGCTATGCTATGCTATGCTATGCTATGATATGCTGCGCCATGCTATGCTATGCTATGTTGCGCTGTGCTATACAAAGCTAAGCTAAGCTATGATGTGATATGATATGATATACTATGAGGCGCCATGCTATGCTATGCTATGCTATGCTATGCTGCGCTATGCTATGCTGCGCTATGCTATGCTATGATATGTTATGATATGATATGCTATGATATGATATGATATGCTATGCTAATGCTGCGCTGCGCTGAGCTGAGCTAAGCTAGGCTAAGCTCAGCTAAGCCAGGCTAGGCTAAGCTAAGATGAAACAAGCTAACCTAAGATGAGATAAGCAACGCTAAGCTAAGGGGACATAACTGGGGGAACCGCGGGGCGGATACTGGGGGAACCGCCCGGGGCGGTGTGCACTGCCCGGCCCCTTTAAGAAAGAGAGTAAGAACCCTCTAAGCAGAGCCTGGGTAGGGAATACGGGCTACGTAATAACAAATCACCCCCGTTGGCTGTGCCATGCGCCCGTTGCACCCGACGTAACCCACAGTAGCTCTTGAGAGCCCCCACGGGATACGTGTAGGCGCAACGTTATGGCCATCGCCTGGCAGATGGTCTGTTTCACGAATCACCCCCGTTGGCTGTGCCATGCGCCCTTTGCGCCTAACGTATCCCGCAGCAGCTCTCCAGAGCCCCCCAGGGACGGCGAGGTCTCGCTCAGGTCCCCGCGGTGCCTCACTCCGCTGGACCCACCAGCAGCCCTCGAAAGTGGCGACAGTGTCGCAGATCGCAGCCCCCCCAGGGACGGCGAGGTCTTGCTCAGGTCTCCGCGGTGCCTCACTCCGCTGGACCCAGCAGCAGCGCTCGAAAGTGGCGGCAGTGTCGCAGATCGCAGCCCCCCAAGGACGGCGAGGTCTCGCTCAGGTCCCCGCGGTGCCTCACTCCGCTGGACCCACCAGCAGCCCTCGAAAGTGGCGACAGTGTCGCAGATCGCAGCCCCCCAAGGACGGCGAGGTCTCGCTCAGGTTTCCGCGGTGCCTCATTCCGCAGGACCCACCAACAGCCCTCGAAAGTGGCGACGCTGTCGCAGATCGCAGCCCCCCCCAGGGACGGCGAGGTCTCGCTCAGGTCCCCGCGGTGCCTCACTCCGCAGGATCCAGCAGCAGCCCTCGAAAGTGGCGACAGTGTCGCAGATCGCAGCCCCTTGGCAAGATGCTCACACTAGAGGTATCGCAGCCAGGATGCACACACACACACACGAGGTACGCACACGACAAGATGAGACAAGAGGAAAGTGAGAAGCGAGAGGCGGGAGGAGGACTGGAGACCGCAGTGTTTTATTCAAAACGAATACCCAACCAAGGAGGGTTGGGAAACAACTCCCCCACTGCCCCCTCCGTCTTACTGATCTCTGTGCGCACCCCCCCCGCTGGCAGTCGGGGAGAGCGCCCCACCGAGGAGCTGTGCCCCGCCTGCAGCGCCTGCTTGGCCGTCCACCTCGCGGGCGTGTCGATGTTCACCAGCTTCTTGATGAGGCCCACTGCCTCGCTGGAGACCTCATCCCACGCCGCGCCTGGATTCTTTTGCTCGCCCCGCATCCCCCGGCCGTGGCTTTCCTCACCCCTGCCTGCCTTGCCCAAGCCTGCTTGCAACCCCTCTTCCCATCCCGGCCCCGAGCTGCCGTGCCCATGCCGCCGCGGCCGGGTGGACTTCTGGCCCGCGCCGACGCCGCATCGGGGCCCGCGAGTCAAGGCCTCGACATTGCTGTCACGAGCTTCTCCGCCCCGAGAAAAGGAGGCAGAAGACGCGCCCCCAGCAATTGTTGCACACGCTCAAACACATGAGGCTATGGGAACTCAGACGCGCGTACTTTCAACGACCGGTCTGTACCGTCGCTTTGCTGCGCAACGCACTTCTTCCTCCTCACCGCCAATCCTCCTCCTCCTTGTCCTCCTCATTCTCCTGCTCCTGCTCCTGCTCCTCCTCCTCTTCCTCCTTCTCCTCCTCCTCCTCCTGCTTCTTCTCCTCCTCGTCCACGTCCCACTTCGCGTGCGGGGACGCGGGGAGGCCACCGTACAAGTGGCGGCGGACCAGGACAGGGGAAGACGGGAAAAGCTCTCGAAAGCGCCCGAGACAAGATGTACATCTTCCCACTTGCGTGCCCTACGTTGTCTTGCATTGTTTGGTCGTGGACCGAAGCAAGCAAGCAAGCACAGCCAGGGTTCAACCCCACGCCAGCCCTCTCCGAGAACTCCCGATCGTCCGTCCGCCTGCGTGGTATGGCAAGTCTGCGGAGACTACGTATGTACATGCGACTCGTGTGCAGAAGAGACATGCAGCTTCCTGAGAAATCGGGAGGCTCGCAGATGCTGCACAACACCTCTGGGTCGTCGCCGAACGGCAGATCGCCAGATAGCATCACGTAGATGACGACCTTAGTGGAGCTTTAGATTTTTGGAGCCCGACGCGCTCAGGGGCGGACGCGGCGTGGCAAATGGAAGAAGGGTGATGCAGCGATCCGGGAGGGGAGCGCGATCGGACGGGAGTCCACCCTGGCATCCCGCCCCCCCTCACCTTCCTCCTCCTCTGCACCTTTCCCTGGCTCCTCTTCCTCCTCCTCGTTGTCCTCCTCCTCCTGCTTCGCCCTCTCCTTCCCCCAATCACCTCTTCTGACGCCTCCCCGCCCAACCCTCGCATGCTCCCTCATGCCCCCCCCCTCCACTCGCTCCGGCCTGCCTCTCGATCTTACCTTCGCCTCGCTTCTTTTACCCCTCCCCCTCTCTAAGGAGAACATGTTTTTGTTTGTGTTGTTTTTTAAAGATACTTGTCCCATTTTTTAATCTGCCCTCCTTAAGGAGAACAATCATGAATCTCTGTTTCATCTGCCCCATTATTTCCTGTTTTATCTCCCCCCTTTAAGGATAACATTTTTTGTTTTTTTCTGACTCGGGGGGGTGGGCGACGTCCCCCTCGGCAAGACACCCTTCCGTGAAGACGACCCCAGGGGGGCCACGCCCGGCGGGCGCAAGCCCGCGCCCGCAGGTGCGGCCTCAGACCCCCCTCGAGAACCGACTGAGAGGGGCAGCTCTCGCCAATCGAGGAAGAGGATGGGGAGGAGGAGGAGGGGGAGAGGGAGGAGGAGGAGGAGGAGGAGGAGGGGGAGGAGGAGGAGGAGGAGGAGGAGGAGGAGGAGGAGGAGGAGGAGAAGGAGGAGGAGGAGGAGGAGGGTCTCTCTTGATCACCCTCCGGAGGGTCGGACTGGTATCCCCTCCTGCTCTTCGGCCTTCCTTCGCCGGAGGCCAGGGGAGGGGCTCGGAGCGGAGGGGGCCGGGCCCCCTCCCGCCCCGTCCCCCATCTCCCTCCCTCCTGCCCCCTCCCTCTTCATCCTAATCCCTACGCCTCCTCCTCCTCCTCCTCACCTTCCTCCTCGTCCTCTTCTTCAACGTTGGTCGGACTTTGGCGATGAGGCTGAATCGTTACAGTGATTAAGCATGCGAGACAAGCCTGACCTACCAACAAAAAGACACATGTGGGCAGACCAATGGCTAAGATAACATGATCGACCCACGGACCCGGAAAAGGAATTTAGAAACGCGAGGCATGGCTCTGTGTTCAAGACGCTTGATTTGGCGACTGGCACTTGCAATGCTGAAGGCATCGATCGTGATGTACCGTGCCAAGGGTTGTGCTTAGCTGTGCTGAAGCGAGATGTGTCATGCGGCAATGAATTCCGTTGTGCTCAACAGTGTTGTGGGTCAAGTCGCCCTTGGCATCCGAATTCTGACCAAACTGATCAGGATCTTTAGGTCGAGCTGCCTGAGCGCATAGCTGGCCCAAAGCTTGTTGCAGTCGAAACGTGTGGGACGCTCAATCAGCTCGAACTCAAAATCCAACTCAAATCCGAAGCGGGACGAGACGACACGGGGCGCAGGGCGCATGTACGCGCCCCTTGATACGTATCAAGGACAAATTCTGCCGGCCCACCCCCAGCACGGTACTGGGGACAGACTACTAACCTTAAAGAGAACCCTGGGCCCTCACCCTTTTCGGGAAAAGGGGCATCGAGCATGCAGAGTATGCTGCGGGCCAGGTAACACAAGGTCCTCCACCTCCTCTTTCTCCTCCATCGAGCCCAGCGTCATTCCATCTTCACGGCCCTCAACGAAGGTCAGTGCAGCACTCGTGTGCCTGGTTGGCGGTCGGCCTTCGAGTGGGGCTGTCCGACCAAGCTCCCTACCTCAAATAATCATCCTCCCCACCTCCACCTCCTTTCCCCAGACTTCGACGCGATCTGGGGGCCAGCTCAGAGCGACGCGAGGCGCCATGGAGAGAAATCGGCGATTGAAACATGATCGACTCACGAACCCGGAAAGGAACTTGAGACCGTGAGGCATGGCTACGTTTTCATGACGCCTGATTGGGCGACTAGCACTTGCAATGCTGAAGTTATCGCTCGTGATGTATCGAGTCAAGGATTGTGCTGTGCTGTGCTGTGCGAATGAGATGTGTTATGCTGCGATGAGTTCCGTTGTGCTCTACCAGTGTTGTGGGTCAAGTCTCCCTTGTTATTCGAATCCTGACCAAACTGATCAGGATCTTAGGTCCAGCTGCCTGAGCGCATAGCTGGCCCAAAGCTTGTTGCAGTCGAAACGTGTGGGACGCTCAATCAGCTCGAACTCAAAATCCAACTCAAATCCGAAGTGGGACGAGACGACACGGGGCGCAGGGCGCATGTACGCGCCACGGGATGTGCCAGGGGTGCACTACAGGATGCGCCAGGGGACGTGTCAAAGGACGCGCCACGGAACAAGCATGGAAAGCGCCAAGGGACAAGCCAAGGAACGCGACGAAGGACGAACCAAAGGGCACGACGAAGGAGGAGGGGCATACGCCGTCCCGCTCTGGGGCGTTAGGAACTCATTTGATTTCACGCTTGTCCCGCTCTAGGGTGTTTAGGGACCCACATGTTTTCACGCTTGTCCCGCTCTGAGGCGTTGGGAACCCATGTGTTTTCACGCTTGTCCCGCTCTGGGGCATTAAGAACCCACTTGTTGTCCCGCTTGTCCCGCTCTGGGGCGTTAGGAACCCACGTATTTTCATGCTTGTCCCGTTCTGGGGCGTTAGGAACCCACTTGTTGTCACGCTTGTCCCGCTCAGGGGCGTTAGGAACACACGTTTTTCATGCTTGTCCCGCTCTGGGGCGTTCGGAACCTACGTGGTTTCACGCTTGTCCTCCCTTGGGGCATTACGAGCTCACATGCTTTCACACTTGTCCCGCTCTGGGGCGTTTGAAACCCAACTGTTTTCTCGCTTGTCTCGCTCTGGGGCGTTAGGGACCCACATGTTTTCACGCTTGTCCCGCTCTGAAGCGTTGGGAACCCATGTGTTTTCACGCTTGTCCCGCTCTGGGGCGTTGGGAACCCACGCGTGCTCACGCTTGTCCCGCTCTGGGGCAATTAAGGATCCAAATGTTTTCACGCTTGTCCCGCTCTGGGTCGTAAAGAACCCGCGTGCTTTCACGCTTGTCCCGCTCTGGGGCGTCAGGGGCCCATGTGTTTTCAAGCTTGTCCCGCACTGGGGCGTTAGGGATCCACATGTTTTCACGCTTGTCCCGCTCTGGGGCATTAGGAACCCACGCGTTCTCACGCTTGTCCCGCTCTGGCGCTCTGGAGCGTTAGGAACCCATGTGTTTTCACTCTTCTCCCGATCTGGTGCGTTAGGAACCCAAGTGATTTCACGCTTGTCCCGATCTGAGGCGTTAGGAACCTATGTGTTCTCATGCTTGTGTCACTTAGAGGCGTTATAAACCCACGTGTTGTCACGCCCCCAGGGCCACGATCCCTAATACACGACGCCCTTACGGCACTCCCAGACCCACCTCGGCATCCAGGGGCACCCATGCCTTTCAAGCGCTGCAGAACAAGCGTTTCGCGCGCAAGGCGCGCCATCCTTGAGAAAACACGCCACACACAACATGATCGACCCACGAACCCGGAAATAAATATAGAAATGTAACACATGGCAGCGTTTTCAAAGACACCTGATTGGGTGACGGGCAAATGCAATGCTGAGTGTATCGATCTCGATGTACCCTGCCGAGGGCTGTGCTGTGCTGCACCGTGCTGAATTGCGATGTGCCATGCCGCGAATGTGCTCTATAGCCTCGTGGATCGAGTCCTCCTTTGCATCCGAGTCCTGACCGAACTGATCTCGATCTTAAGCTCGAGCTGCCTGAACACATAGTAGCTGCCCCAGAGCTGATGGACAGGGAAGCATGCCAGGAGGACGCGCCGCGAAACGTCCCAAGGGATGCGCCAGGCGACGTGCCAGGGGACATGCCATGGGGTCGCACCGCGGGACGTGCCAAGGGGACGCGCTACGGAACGTGCCAATGGATGTGCCACGGGATGTGCCAGGGGACGCGCCACGCGACGTGCCAGGGAGACTCGCTAAGGGACGCGCCACGGAACGTGCCAAGGAACGTGCCAAGTTGCAATGCTGAGTGTATCGATCTTGATGTACCGTGCCGAAATCTGTGCTGTGCTGCGCCGTGCTGAATTGCGATGCGCCATGCCGCGATTGTGCTCTATAGCCTCGTGGATCGAGTCCTCCTTTGCATCCGAGTCCTGACCGAACTGATCTCGATCTTAAGCTCGAGCTGCCTGAACACAGAGTAGCTGCCCCAGAGCTAAATGACAGGGGGACATGCCAGGAGGACGCGCCGCGGAACGTCTCAAGGGACGCGCCCAGCGACGTGCCAAGGGACGTGCCATGGGGACGCACCGCGGGACGTGCCAAGGGGACGCGCTACGGAACGTGCTGGGGACAAGCGTTTCGCTCGAGACATCCTGTCAAAATCCAAGGACATCATGGCAAAACAAACGAATTCGTCGAGACATCCTCGAAATTCCTGCGCGCGGGACGCGGCGCGCGCGAGACATCCTCGGAATTCCTGCGAGCGGGACGTAAAAACAAGCATTTTGCCTGAGACATCCTTTGAATTCTGGCCCCCCCCCAGGCCCCCGCTCGAGACATCCCCTAATTTTGCAAAACCAGTGTTTCGCTCGAGATCTTCAACAAATTCTGAAAATTTTGCAAAACCAGCGTTTCGCTCGAAACATCCTCAACCAATTATGGAAAAAACATTTCGCTCGAGACATCCTGTCAAAATTCAAAGGAATCATAGAAAAACAAACGAATTAGTCGAGACATCCTCGAAATTCCTGCGCGCGGGACGCGGCACGCGCGAAACATCATCGGAATTCCTGCGCGCGGGGCGCTTTTCCGCGTCGCGGTCGGCTCTGCAAAACCAGCGTTTCGCTCGAGACATCCTCAACAAATTCTGAAAACAAGCGTTTCGCTCGAGACATCCCCAACTCTGCAAAACCAGCGTTTCGCTCGAGACATCCTCAACAAATTCTGAAAAACAAGCGT